TACTTTACTGAGAAAGTGTAATCCCAAGTAAAACATGTGCTACTGTAGGTATTAGAAAACATGTACACGTTTACAGACACATAAATTCTCTCATGTTTTAAACTGCTCACGGGCATAACAGTTGTTTTGTAAACGAAATATGCTTACATAGAAAAACTTATATAATGTTCTCATAATATTTATCGTATTCCACAATTTCGTATTTAGAGTGTGCCGGTCCGTGAACCAAATGATTTAACAAAGAGCAAATCTGCAGCCCCGAAAGAACAAATTAACTAAAACTGAACAAATGAACGAAAAATGAATCCGTGAAATAAGTCTAATTCTTGCTATGTAAACGGAAAAACCAAATACCCTGACACTCCCTCGCAAAGCAAACACGCCCTGATCACCACCCAGCCTGTGCATATGCGGAGTTTCATGAAAGAATATCTCTAAATGTCAGAGATATGGTTACAACGGTGTCAAAATGAAACTTGTTCCCATGGAAGGGTAAAAACACGAAAATTATAAAAGGGATTAAAAGAAAAGTTGGTGTGTAGGTAGAGACACTGACATGTAGTAGTTATACCACACGGATTTCTGTAAAAAAACTCGATATTGTTCAAAGGTGAAAACACTGACATATAGTGGTGGTGGTGTGTAGGTAGAGACACTGACATGTAGTGGTGGTGGTGGTGTGTAGGTAGAGACACTGACATGTAGTGGTGGTGGTGGTGTGTAGGTGGAGACACTGACATGTAGTGGTGGTGGTGGTGTGTAGGTGGAGACACTGACATGTAGTGGTGGTGGTGGTGGTGTGTGGGTGGAGACACTGACATGTAGTGAGTGGTGGTGTGGTGGTGGAGACACTGACATGTAGTGGTGGTGGTGGTGTAGGTGACTGACATGGTGGTGGTGGTGTGTAGAGTGGAGACACTGACATGTGTAGTGGTGGTGGTGGTGTGTAGGTGGAGACACTGACATGTAGTGGTGGTGGTGGTGGTGTGTGGGTGGAGGTGGTGACATGTGGTGGTGGTGGTGGTGGTGTGGTGTGTGGGGTGGAGACACTGACATGTAGTGGTGGTGGTGTAGGTGGAGACACTGACATGTGTGGTGGTGGTGGTGTGTGGGGTGGAGACACTGACATGTGGTGGTGGTGGTGGTGTGGTGGTGGTGTGGTGAGGGTGGAGACACTGACATGTAGTGGTGGTGGTGGTGTGTAGGTGGAGACACTGACATGTAGTGTGGTGGTGGTGTGTGTAGGTGGAGACACTGACATGTAGTGGTGGTGGTGTGTGGTGGAGACACTGACATGTAGTGGTGGGTGGTGGTGTGTAGGTGGAGACACTGACATGTAGTGGTGAGGAGTGTGGTGGTGGTGTGTAGGTGGAGACACTGACATGTAGTGGTGGTGGTGGTGTGTAGAGTGGAGACACTGACATGTAGTGGTGGTGGTGGGTGGAGACACTGACATGTGGTGGTGGTGGAGACACTGCACTGACATGTAGTGGTGGGTGGTGGTGTGTAGGTGGAGACACTGACATGTAGTGGTGGTGGTGGTGGTGGTGGAGACACTGAGGTGGAGACACTGACATGTAGTGAGTGGTGGTGGTGTGTGCAGGTGGAACACTGACATGTAGTGGTGGTGGTGGTGTGGTAGGTGGAGACACTGACATGTAGTGGTGGTGTGGTGGTGTGTAGGGGTGGAGACACTGACATGTAGTAGTGGTGGTGGTGTGTGGGGTGGAACACTGACATGTAGTGGTGGTGGTGGTGTGTAGGTGGAGACACTGACATGTAGTGGTGGTGGTGGTGTGTGGAGTGGAGACACTGACATGTAGTGGTGGTGGTGTGTGTAGGTGGAGACACTGACATGTAGTAGTGGTGGTGGTGGTGTGGTGGAGACACTGACATGTAGTGGTGGTGGTGGTGGTGTGTAGGTGGAGACACTGACATGTAGTGTGTGGTGGTGTGTGTAGGTGGAGACACTGACATGTAGTGGTGGTGGTGGTGTGTAGGTGGAGACACTGACATGTAGTGGTGGTGGTGGTGGTGGTGTGTAGGTGGAGACACTGACATGTAGTGGTGGTGGTGGTGGTGTGTAGGTGGAACACTGACATGTAGTGGTGGTGACATGTGGTGTGGTGGTGGGGTGGAGACACTGACATGTAGTGGCAGGTGGAACACTGGTGGTGTGGTGCAGGTGGTGGTGGGTGGAACACTGACATGTGAGGTGGTGGTGGTGGTGTGTGGAGTGGAGACACTGACATGTAGTGGTGGTTGTGGTGTGTAGGTGGAGACACTGACATGTAGTGGTGAGTGGTGGTGTGTAGGTGGGAACACTGACATGTAGTGGTGGTGGTGGTGGTGGTGTGTAGGTGGAGACACTGACATGTAGTGGTGGTGGTGGTGGTGTGTAGGTGGAGACACTGACATGTAGTGGTGGTGGTGGTGGTGTGTAGGTGGAGACACTGACATGTAGTGGTGGTGGTGGTGGTGTGTAGGTGGAGACACTGACATGTAGTGGTGGTGGTGTGTGTGTGGTGTGGAGACACTGACATGTAGTGGTGGTGGTGGTGTGTAGGTGGGAGACACTGACATGTAGTGGTGGTGGTGGTGGTGTGTAGGTGGAGACACTGACATGTAGTAGTGGTGGTGGTGGTGTGTGGGGTGGAGACACTGACATGTGGTAGGTGGTGGTGGTGTGTGTGTAGGTGGAGACACTGACATGTGGTGGCAGGTGGTGGTGGAGACACTGACATGTAGTGGTGGTGTGTGGGTGGAGACACTGACATGTAGTGGTGGTGGTGGTGGTGTGTAGGTGGAGACACTGACATGTAGTGGTGGTGGTGGTGTGTAGGTGGAGACACTGACATGTAGTGGTGGTGGTGGTGTGGTGGTGGAGACACTGACATGTAGTGGTGGTGGTGGTGTGTAGGTGGAGACACTGACATGTAGTGGTGGTGGTGGTGGTGTGTAGGTGGAGACACTGACATGTAGTGGTGGTGGTGGTGGTGTAGGTGGAGACACTGACATGTAGTGGTGGTGGTGGTGTGGGTGGAGACACACTGACATGTAGTGGTGGTGGGTGTGTAGGTGGAGACACTGACATGTAGTGGTGGTGGTGGTGTGTAGGTGGAGACACTGACATGTAGTAGTGGTGGTGTGTGTAGGTGGAGACACTGACATGTAGTGGTGGTGGTGGTGGTGTGTAGGTGGAGACACTGACATGTGGTGGTGGTGGTGGTGTGTAGGTGGAGACACTGACATGTAGTGGTGATGGTGGTGTGTAGGTGGAGACACTGACATGTAGTGGTGATGGTGGTGTGTAGGTGGAGACACTGACATGTAGTGTAGTGGTGAGTGGTGGTGGTAGGTGGGGACACTGACATGTAGTGGTGAGTGGTGGTGTGTAGGTGGAGACACTGACATGTAGTGGTGGTAGTGTGGAGTGGAACACTGACATGTAGTGGTGGTGGTGGTGTGTAGGTGGAGACACTGACATGTAGTGGTGGTGGTGGTGGTGGTGTGTGGAGTGGAGACACTGACATATGGTGGTGGTGGTGGTGTGTAGGTGGATACACTGACATGTAGTGGTGGTGAGTGGTGGAATGTAGGTGGAGACACTGACATGTAGTAATGGTGGTGGTGGTGTGTAGGTGGGAGACACTGACATGTAGTGGTGGTGGTGGTGTGTAGGTGGAGACACTGACATGTAGTAGTGATGGTGGTGGTGGTGTGTAGGTTGAGACACTGACATGTAGTAGTGGTGGTGGTGTGTAGGTGGAGACAATGACATGTAGTGGTGGTGGTACGTAGGTTGAGACACTGACAAGTAGTAGTGGTGGTGGTGTGTAGGAGGAGACACTGACATGTGTGTTGGTGGTGTGTAGGTGGAGACAATGACATGTAGTGGTGGTGGTGGTGGTGTGTAGGTGGAGACACTGAGATGTAGTAGTGGTGGTGGTGTGTAGGTGGAGACACTGACATGTGTGGTGGTGGTGTGTAGGTGGAGACACTCCCATTTAGTCATGGTGGTGTGTAGGTGGAGACACTGGCATGTAGTGGTGGTGGTGTGTAGGTGGAGACACTGACATGACATGGTGGTGGTGGTGTGTGGTGGTGGAGACACTGGCATGTAGTGGTGGTGGTGGTGGTGTGTGTGGAGACACTGACATATAGTGGTGGTGGTGGTGGAGATAACTGACATGTAGTGGTGGTGTAGGTGTGGGAGGTTGAGACACTGACATGTAGTGGTGGTGTAGGTGGGAGACACTGGAATGATGTGTAGTGGTGGTGGTGGTGTGTAGGTTGGAGATACTGACATATGGTGGTGGTGGTGGTGGAGACACTGACATGTAGTGGTGGTGTAGGTTGAGACACTGACATATAGTGGTGGTGTGTAGGTGGAGATACTGACATATAGTGGTGGTGTGTAGGTGGAGACACTCCCATTTAGTCATGGTGGTGTGTAGGTGGAGACACTGGCATGTAGTGGTGGTGGTGTGTAGGTGGAGACACTGACATATAGTGGTGGTGTAGGTGGAGACACTGGCATGTAGTGGTGGTGGTGTGTAGGTGGAGACACTGACATGTAGTGGTGGTGTAGGTTGAGACACTGACATGTAGTGGTGGTGTAGGTTGAGACACTGACATGTAGTGGTGGTGTAGGTTGAGACACTGACATATAGTGGTGGTGGTGTGTACATGCTACGTGTTATGTTTACCTAATTTTCCTTGCATATACGTACTTTGATAACCCATTGTGAACATTCTCTAATATTTATTTGTAAACATTTCTATTATTGACTGATTATGTTGTGGCTGTGCAATAAACTCGTCATTAATTTACTCAGGTTGTGTGTTGTGTGTGGGTTGGTATAGTGGAACCTCTTGCCAAGCTAATCCCCCAAAGTAAGGAAGCAAAGTGGATTCCGACGTTTTCAGATTCTTGGTTTCCCGTCCTCTCTGTTAAAATGTAAACTAATTAATCCTTTACTGCAACACTAACCAAAATCGAGCTACAAAATATTTTATTTTCAACAAATCAAAGAACATGAACAGACAGGGTGATCCCAACTGGTGACAGTTGAATAACATTGAATTCAATATTTCCAGCACTGTTTAACTATCGTCAGACGAAATGGCTGTGCACTGGCACATACTAACTGAAAGTAACATCACTAAATTATAAAAAAAACATCATCGAACGTCAAATGCTATCATTATGCAATGAAATACTATGCGACCTCTACATATTCCCACAAATAAAGTTTCTACTTTATTCACTAACAATGTAATCCTACATAGAACAACGGTGGGAGAATTTTGACAGTAACCTCCTAATCAAAGCCTCAGGTGAAAGAATTCCGACAATACTTGAAACACCTAAACAAAGCCTTAGATGGAAGAATTCTGACAGTAAACTCCTGAACAAATCCTTAGATGGAAGACTTCTGACAGTAAACTCCTGAACAAATCCTTAGATGGAAGACTTCTGACAGTAAACTCCTGAACAAATCCTTAGATGGAAGACTTCTGACAGTAAACTCCTGAACAAAGCCTTAGATGGAAGACTTCTGACAGTAAACTCCTGAACAAAGCCTTAGATGGAAGACTTCTGACAGTAAACTCCTTAACAAATCCTTAGATGGAAGAATTCTGACAGTAAACTCCTGAACAAAGCCTTAGATGGAAGACTTCTGACAGTAAACTCCTTAACAAATCCTTAGATGGAAGACTTCTGACAATAAACTCCTTAACAAATCCTTAGATGGAAGAATTCTGACAGTAAACTCCTTAACAAATCCTTAGATGGAAGACTTCTGACAGTAAACTCCTTAACAAATCCTTAGATGGAAGAATTCTGACAGTAAACTCCTTAACAAATCCTTAGATGGAAGACTTCTGACAGTAAACTCCTGAACAAATCCTTAGATGGAAGACTTCTGACAGTAAACTCCTGAACAAATACTTAGAAGGAAGACTTCTGACAGTAAAACTCCTAAAGAAAGCCTTAGACGAAGAATTCTGACAGTAAAACTCCTTAACAAATCCTTAGATGGAAGAATTCTGACAGTAAACTCCTTAACAAATCCTTAGATGGAAGACTTCTGACAGTAAAACTCCTAAAGAAAGCCTTAGACGAAGAATTCTGACAGTAAAACTCCCAAAGAAAGCCTTAGATGGAAGAATTCTGACAGTAAAATCCTAAACAAAGCCTTAGATGGAAGAATTCTGACAGTAAACTCCTGAACAAAGCCTTAGATGGAAGAATTCGAACAGTAAAGTCCTAAACAAAGCCTTAGACGAAGAATTCTGACAATAAATTCCATTAAATGGAAGAATTTTAATAAAAAATGTGTGTTAGATTGGGTTCAAAGTCCCAAACTGCACATCGGCACTATGACATTTGTAAGCCAAGGGTGAACTGTGGAGTTATGAAAGGTTTATGGATCAGGACCCAGGTCTTGATTCATGGCGGGCCATGGAAGGTGAGTCACAGCATTATTGTAAATGAAAGGTGTCACTGCCCGAGAATGTTGTGGCCTAGCATTGTCATCCATAACTACAAGTCTTGTAACAAGAGGATAATCAGCAAACAGGGGGACAACAACTGGATCCAGCACTTCCGGGATATACTGGTCACCCGTCAAAGTTCCACGCCTTGTCACTCAAGTCAAGTTCAGAGAGGAGATATCCCCACATCATAATGGAACCGCCACCAAAGGCAATTGGCAGTTGGTTGACTGTTTTTGCTTCAAATGCTGTATTTCGCTGCCTCCAAATTGTCATGCTTTCATCAGTTACATGAAGATGGAATATCATCAGACCAATGTATTTTTCGCCAAGTCCTTAGGTTGACCTGTTGCCGTTGTCAACAACAAACCACATGTACTTGTTGGTGATTATCGCTCAGTAGAGGGCGTTTGATGACACTTCTAGAGCTGTGCCCGGCTCTCATCAGGCTATTCCAGAATGTTTCCATCCAGACCCAGCGAAATGCTAACCAGTGGTGCTATGGAACAGTGCTTGTGGCAAATGGTTGTCGTTCAGTGAGCTTCAACTGTGTTCTTTCTTCATAATCTGCCGTCGCCCTGGGTCTTTCAGAACGTGGGCGATCCTTCAGCTCATTGGCTCCCCTGTACTTTCTGATCCAACGGATGACAATTTTGTAGAAACAGTTCTTGCTCCATGTCAGTATGAAAGTCGCGATGTTCACATTACGTGCTCCTGCGCTCATTTCTATGAGCATCAATCATGTGCAGCATTGCTATGCATTACCTTGTCTCTCTCATTCTGTTTCAACCGTTCTTGTTAATCCACAGCAAGAAACTACGCACGCGGTACACCTAAAACCTTGATCCAGATCACATACTAGGTTTAGCAATCTCTGGGTCAATTACACGAGGTAGACCTGGCATCATTATTCTTTTAACAGGTGTTATATTTGGGATGACACTTTCTCAGTACAGTAAAGATTCCAGCACTTTTATTAGCTGAATTCCCATCCAGGATTCGAAACTCTCAGAAAAAAACAGTCTGGCACACAAAGTCAGAATCTAACCCACTTAGCCAGCGCGGCCCAAAAATACCCCCAAAACGGAGACAAAATAAAAATAAATCAATAATAATATGGAGTCCTAATTGTATCTCTGCCAATTTTCTACCTATTAACAAGCTCCCCTGCTAATCAACCCTTTTAATAATCAAGCATTTTCTCGGCAGTTCCAGGTTTCATAAAACGCACTAAACTGTTAACCAATTTTTTTAAACAATCCAAAACTAAAACACAGTGAAGAAAATATTTTGCATTTTTGATTCAGAATCGAAATTGTTAGCCTGAACAGCTGTGTATGTATTCATAACCCGTATGCACAACATGATAGTGATTATTTCTATGAAGTATATTCTGAAAATGTGTTTTCAATGATTATTAATCAAATATGGCCATGATTTCAGTGATCTCTACAGTAACGTAACCAGGCAACATTCTTTGTGAATGTCTTTAGCAGCCGCCTGCAGCCTGCCCAGGGCCACTGTGGAGGTAATGAGGGCACGACACCTATTTGAAAGAAATGTTTAAAAAATAATGGTTCAGTTTTTTATTAATCAAATATAGCCATGATTTCCTTTTCACTTCTATCAACAGTAACGTAACTAATCAACATTCTTTGTGAATGTCTGTACCATGGTGTACCCCTCTGTACCATGGTGTTCTGACTATGTCCAAGGTCAAGGTGGAGGTAATGAGGGCACGACACCTATTTGAAAGAAATATTTAAAAAATGACGGTTCGGATCTTCTCCCGTAGACACTCGTCCTATACAACAGAAATTCCAGCGTCCTCATTTGTTTAGGATCCACATAGTGAAAGGTTATCGTCAGCTGGCTGCAACATTCTTTGCCCTGAAAATAGAGTGAGACAGTGCTCAGAAGTGTTCTGTGATGCCGCTAGTAATATGACAGCAATGTAATGGAAGCAGTGTCTCATGGGTTCTTTGACACGGTCAGCAATACTATGGAGGCAGTGCTATATGGGTTCAGGGACATCGTCAGCAATACAGTGGAGGCAGTGGTACATGGGTTCTGGGACACCGTCAGCAATACAGTGGAGGCTGTACTACATGGGTTCTGGGACACTGTCAGCAATACAGTTCAGGCAGTGTTAAATGGGTTCTGGAACTACGTCAGCAATACAGTGGAGGCAGTGCTACATGGGTTCTGGAACACCGTCAGCAATACAGTTCAGGCAGTGTTAAATGGGTTCTGGGACACTGTCAGCAATGCAGTGGAGGCAGTGTTACATGGGTACTGGGACACCTAAACAATACAGTGGAGGCAGTGCTACATGGGTACTGGGACACCATCATCAATACAGTGGAGGTAGTGTTACATGGGTTCTGGTACACCGTCAGCAATACACTGGAGGCAGTGTTACATGGGTTCTTGGACACCGTCAGCAATACAGTGGAGGCAGTGTTACATGGGTTCTGGGACACGGTTATCAATACAGTGGAGGCGGTGCTACATAGGTTCTGGGACACCATCAGCAATACAGTGGAGGTGGTGCTACATGGATTTTGGGACACTGTTATCAATACAGTGGAGGCACTGCTACATGGGTTCTGGGAAACTGTTATCAATACAGTGGAGGCGGTGCTACATGGCTTCTGGGACATCCTCAGCAATACAGTGGAGGACGTGCTACATTGGTTCTGGGACACCGTCAGTAATTCAGTGAAGGCAGTGCTATATGGGTTCTCGGACACTGTTTTCAATACAGTGGAGGCTGTGCTACATGGGTTCTGGGACACTGTTATCAATACAGTGAAGGCAATGCTCCATGGGTTCTGGACACTGTTATCAATACAGTGGAGGCAGTGGTACATGCTTTCTGGGACATCCTCAGCAATACAGTGGAGGTCGTGCTACATAGGTTCTGGGACACCGTCAGTAATTCAGTGAAGGCTGTGCTACATGGTTTCTGGGACACTGTTATCAATACAGTTATGAGTGTACTACATGGGTTCTGGGACACCATCATCAATACAGTGGAGGTAGTGTTACATGGGTTCTGGTACACCGTCAGCAATACACTGGAGGCAGTGTTACATGGGTTCTGGGACACTGTCAGCAATACAGTGAAGGCAGTGTTACATGGGTTCTGGTACACCGTCAGCAATACAGTGGAGGCAGTGTTACATGGGTTCTGGGACACTGTTATCAATACAGTGGAGGTGGTGCTACATGGGTTCTGGAACATTGTTATCAATACAGTGGAGGCTGTGCTACATGGGTTCTGGGACATTGTTATCAATACAGTAGAGGCGGTGCTACATAGGTTCTGGGACACCGTCAGCAGTATAGTGGAGGCTGTGCTACATGGGTTCTGGGACACTGTTATGAATACAGTGGAGGCAGTGCTACATGGGTTCTGGGACACCATCAAGAATACAGTGGAGGCTGTGCTACATGGGTTCTGGGACACTGTTATCAATACAGTGAAGGCAATGCTCCATGGGTTCTGGACACTGTTATCAATACAGTGGAGGCAGTGGTACATGAGTTCTGGGACATCCTCAGCAATACAGTGGAGGTCGTGCTACATTGGTTCTGGGACACCGTCAGTAATTCAGTGAAGGCTGTGCTACATGGTTTCTGGGACACTGTTATCAATACAGTTATGAGTGTACTACATGGGTTCTGGGACACCATCATCAATACAGTGGAGGTAGTGTTACATGGGTTCTGGTACACCGTCAGCAATACACTGGAGGCAGTGTTACATGGGTTCTGGGACACTGTCAGCAATACAGTGGAGGCAGTGTTACATGGGTTCTGGGACACTGTTATCAATACAGTGGAGGCTGTGCTACATAGGTTCTGGGACACCATCAGCAATACAGAGGAGGCAGTGGTACATGAGTTCTGGGACATCCTCAGCAATACAGTGGAGGCGGTGGTACATTGGTTCTGGGACACCGTCAGCAATACAGTGGAGGCAGTGCTACATGGGTTCTGGGACACTTTAATTAGCAAAACAGTGGAGGCGGTGCTACATGGGTTCTGGGACACTATCATCAGCAATACAGTGGAGGCACTGCTACATGTGTTCTGGGACACTGTGGTCAGCAATACAGTGAAGACAATGTTACATGGGTTCTGGGGCACCATCATCAGCAATACAGTGAAGGCAGTGCTGCATGGGTTCTGTGACACTGTCGTCAGCAATACAGTGGAGGCAGTGTTACATGGGTTCTTTGGACACCATCATCAATACAGAGGAGGCAGTGTTACATGGGTTCTTGGACACCATCATCAATACAGTGGAGGCAGAGCTACATGGGTTCTGGGACACTGTTATCAATACAGTGGAGGCGGTGCTACATGGGTTCTGGGACACCATCAGCAATACAGTGGAGGCAGTGCTACATGGGTTCTGGGACATTGTCATCAATACAGTGGAGGCAGTGCTACATGGGATCTGGGACATTGTTATCAATACAGAGGAGGAGGTGCTATATGGGTTCTGGGACACTGTTATCAATACAGTGGAGGCAGTGCTACATGGGTTCTGGGACACTGTGTCAGCAATACAGTTATCAATACAGTGGAGTCAGTGCTACATGGGTTCTGGGACATTGTTATCAATACAGCAGATCTGGTACAGCGGTGCTGGAGGCTGGGTCCAGCTACATGGGTTCTGGGACACATCAATACAGCAGTATAGTGGAGGCTGTGCTACATGGGTTCTGGGGACACTGTTATGAATACAGTGGAGGCAGTGCTACATGGGTTCTGGGACACCATCAAGAATACAGTGGAGGCTGTGCTACATGGGTTCTGGGACACTGTTATCAATACAGTGAAGGCAATGCTCCATGGGTTCTGGACACTGTTATCAATACAGTGGAGGCAGTGGTACATGAGTTCTGGGACATCCTCAGCAATACAGTGGAGGTCGTGCTACATTGGTTCTGGGACACCATCAGTAATTCAGTGAAGGCTGTGCTACATGGTTTCTGGGACACTGTTATCAATACAGTTATGAGTGTACTACATGGGTTCTGGGACACCATCATCAATGCAGTGGAGGTAGTGTTACATGGGTTCTGGTACACCATCAGCAATACACTGGAGGCAGTGTTACATGGGTTCTGGGACACTGTCAGCAATACAGTGGAGGCAGTGTTACATGGGTTCTGGGACACTGTTATCAATACAGTGGAGGCAGTGCTACATAGGTTCTGGGACACCATCAGCAATACAGAGGAGGCAGTGGTACATGAGTTCTGGGACATCCTCAGCAATACAGTGGAGGCGGTGGTACATGGGTTCTAGGACACTATCATCAGCAATACAGTGGAGGCACTGCTACATGTGTTCTGGGACACTGTGGTCAGCAATACAGTGAAGACAATGTTACATGGGTTCTGGGGCACTATCATCAGCAATACAGTGAAGGCAGTGCTGCATGGGTTCTGTGACACTGTCGTCAGCAATACAGTGGAGGCAGTGTTACATGGGTTCTTTGGACACCATCATCAATACAGAGGAGGCAGTGTTACATGGGTTCTTGGACACCATCATCAATACAGTGGAGGCAGAGCTACATGGGTTCTGGGACACTGTTATCAATACAGAGGAGGCAGTGCTACATGGCTTCTGGGACACTGTTATCAATACAGTGGAGGCGGTGCTACATGGGTTCTGGGACACCATCAGCAATACAGTGGAGGCAGTGCTACATGGGTTCTGGGACATTGTCATCAATACAGTGGAGGCAGTGCTACATGGGATCTGGGACATTGTTATCAATACAGAGGAGGAGGTGCTATATGGGTTCTGGGACACTGTTATCAATACAGTGGAGGCAGTGCTACATGGGTTCTGGGACACTGTCAGCAATACAGTGGAGTCAGTGCTACATGGGTTCTGGGACACTGTTATCAATACAGTGGAGGCAGTGCTACATGGGTTCTGGGACATTGTTATCAATACTGTGGAGGCGGTGCTACATGGGTTCTGGAACATTGTTATCAATACAGTGGAGGCTGTGCTACATGGGTTCTGGGACATTGTTATCAATACAGTAGAGGCGGTGCTACATAGGTTCTGGGACACCGTCAGCAGTATAGTGGAGGCTGTGCTACATGGGTTCTGGGACACTGTTATGAATACAGTGGAGGCAGTGCTACATGGGTTCTGGGACACCATCAAGAATACAGTGGAGGCTGTGCTACATGGGTTCTGGGACACTGTTATCAATACAGTGAAGGCAATGCTCCATGGGTTCTGGACACTGTTATCAATACAGTGGAGGCAGTGGTACATGAGTTCTGGGACATCCTCAGCAATACAGTGGAGGTCGTGCTACATTGGTTCTGGGACACCGTCAGTAATTCAGTGAAGGCTGTGCTACATGGTTTCTGGGACACTGTTATCAATACAGTTATGAGTGTACTACATGGGTTCTGGGACACCATCATCAATACAGTGGAGGTAGTGTTACATGGGTTCTGGTACACCGTCAGCAATACACTGGAGGCAGTGTTACATGGGTTCTGGGACACTGTCAGCAATACAGTGAAGGCAGTGTTACATGGGTTCTGGTACACCGTCAGCAATACAGTGGAGGCAGTGTTACATGGGTTCTGGGACACTGTTATCAATACAGTGGAGGCGGTGCTACATAGGTTCTGGGACACCATCAGCAATACAGAGGAGGCAGTGGTACATGAGTTCTGGGACATCCTCAGCAATACAGTGGAGGCGGTGGTACATTGGTTCTGGGACACCGTCAGCAATACAGTGGAGGCAGTGCTACATGGGTTCTGGGACACTTTAATTAGCAAAACAGTGGAGGCGGTGCTACATGGGTTCTGGGACACTATCATCAGCAATAC